TTCGATGCCATTACCATGTATTAACGTGATAGGGGTAGTCGTTTCTACTCTGTTCGACGAGTCGCGATGTTTAATTTTTCGTTATAGCTATATACGCGAATATCGGATTGGTTATTAAGTAGCATTTCATAGCAGACGGTGCTCATCGAACAATGTTCCTAAATGAAATTATTTATAAATTAAGTTGGTCCAAAGATTTATTGATCAACTCATAATTTCTGTCTATCGAAGGGAAACTTTGCTAATCCCTGGCGTGGAGCAATTAAAAAATCATAGCGTTTCATGATCAACGTGAGTGGAAGTTTGACGAGGTTTTGAACACGATATGCATAGAATAGCTAGATGCATTAGACTCGAGATAAGGCAGAAGATCGTTAGTTCCTGTTAAAACGAGCGAATCGGGCTGTGCTTAACATCCTAGCTGATAGGAATTTTCCTAAAATTCCCTATGAAACGTTAGCGGTGTTTAATAAAACGCGAACAACGTGGGTAAAATCTTAAAATGTAGGCATATCTCCACTGACGTACATTGCTTTTGATAACCCTCTTATTGTTCCTTTACGAGCACCATTAATCCACTGAAACATTTAACTACAGGCTTTTCGAGTGAATTTTATATTCCTAATTTTTTTTTCCTCCAATTCTTCAGCGTATCCTATTCTAATGGATCGAAATTTGGCACGAAGCGCATTCGTGTATCTTCGATAAGTTATTTATCGTCGTCTTGCCGTAGATAAAAGACGATCGTAGAAAATTAGTATCGACTTATCGAGTGAGGTAAAAATGTGTGCATTAACGAATTTAGGGATAAAACACGGCTAGTCCTTGATTATTCGAACAGATCGTCTTAAATCTCGGCCGTTGGGTATAAACGAGCAGTACTTGAACCGGAGCGATTTTCTACCTCGTTGAACGCAAAGGGTGCCCTACCATCACCAAGCCTTAATTACATCCGAGGATTTGGACGGGTCTCTGCGTTCATTGAAATCACAACGATCCGTTTTTAGGTTTCTTTTTCGCGACAGATCTCGCAAAGTATCTACGTTCTATTCTTCATCGTTTCGCCGAAATAAATAGTTAATTCGTCACGAATAAGATTAATTTCGCGGTATGTCGCACGACATTCATCGCCCAAGGACTCACTAGTCTCGCACACTCTTCAGCTTCCGCTATACATATTTTGTCCGCGACCGAAAGCAATTCATCCCTTTGTCAAAGCGTTTGTTTCTGACAGGGTTCATCAGTCTCCGCGAAAGTCTACGGCGAAAGAAAATCGTTCGCATTTATCCAACTAGAAGGCTTCGTACGCTATTGCGATTCGTCGAGGGGAAAGATTTTTTCGCGACTCGGATCGTTTATTCGACGGATATAAAAATTGTTCTCGATCACAGTCACGTATATACCGATGATCGCTGTTGCGGGAGGTTAAGATTTTCCATAAATGGGCTGTCATTGAAGAAGCTTGGTCCATTAAAAAGAGAACGTTAGTTATGCATACTCTTCGAGCGTATCGGTGTTAGGTTTTTCCCAACGGGCTACGTATTCCGAGTAAAACCGATCGACGTCGAAATCTCAGTCGTAAATCGCGAATTTAGGAGCGTTACGGTCGTGTATGCTTCGGCGTGGGACTGCCTCTATTGCGTTTTATTTTCTCCGTCGTCGCATTATTGGAGCGGCTCTCACGGCCCTGGCTGCCATTACAACTACCGAAATGTATTTCGAATCCAAAAAAAGATGTTCCTCGACTCCCCCTGCCTCCTCACGTGTCGCATATGTTACGCATATGATCGCAACCTTTTTTGCGGAATACGAAAATCATGTTTCCCAGCGTTACGATTTCCGCAAACCTTACCGAGATATTCTCGACTCTGGCGTTCTCGAAATATTTTGAAAAGGTGACAAAAAGCACTGCAGGGTGTCGAAATCTCTACTAAATTGATAGAACGCGCAATATCAGGCTTGGTAAATGTCAAATAATTCTCTAGCATTCTGGACAACGTCGGTATGCAAAGGTCCGGTGTAATGAACATTCGTCCGCATCGCCATACATATTAGTGGAATAAATTGCTGGCTGTTTTAGTAATTTACCGAGCGAATAATTTATCGTGATACAATGAATTTGGCGGTTCATCCCAGAACATATCGACGTCGCTTCGAGTCGCTTAATGGACCTTTGCGCGCCTTGTTTCATTTTCTCGACATTTCCGATAATTATTGAAGCATCGATTGAATTTGTTGTCAGAAGCCTATGAAGACTCGTAGAATCGTCGAATTGCAGCTATTTTTCATTTCGAAAATATACGAATTTAATCCACGCGAATGCCTTGCAATTGTATGTACGTTATTTCCAGGCGGACACCGTGAACGTTGTTAATAATTAAAATACGCAGATCGGCTAATTAATCGCTATATCGGATGATCATATATTAATCATGACGATTTTCCCTGGTATATTTCACATTTACATTTTCCGCGACGAATTGATACCTTTGTACGAGCGTTCTGATGACGGCCAAAGGATCGTGCGTCCATATATGCAATTACTTTGTGAAGTGTGACGATAGGCGTTTCAATTTTTAATCAATTTGCGCGACGAACGAGTCGAGATAAAAACTAGAGGGGCAAGATATATTTTGACGTGCTCACCTGGGTGAATCGTGACGCATTAGCCCGCATTTCCAGAAACGTGTATCTGCATATCGTGAAACCATGACATAATTACTTGCTTCACGCGGTGACTAATAATCACTAGCGTGTGTGCTAGCGAACCATGGTAATCGCAGGAATGTACGCAAAAGGAATCAGAATCGTAAATCGTGCGGTGTTGCGTGTTCGCGATCACGCGCGTGTCGCAGATTTTTGTTAGATGCTGCGACGCGTCCTTCCTTTCATCGATTTTCAGGATACATACAATTGCGTTCCTCCTGGCTTCCAATGGCTTCAAGGCACATTCGCGAAACTGTATGCAGCTTACCGGTTACAACTCGCGATAACCGTAAGTCTGGCTTTTAATCTTCTCCGATGCCGAAAATGGACAAGCCAGGTCCTTTTAATCACCCCGGAACAAACAATGTTGTTCGCTAAAAGGTTTGCGTGGGCTACCGAGCAGAGATCTGCAGGGTGTCGTAAAATAATTTTGGAAACCGTATATCTCACTTAAAGAAGATCTACCCTTATACCTGTTTCGCTCTGGACCGTTGAAACGTGTCTAGTAAATATTCGGTACCCCTGGCTCCTAGACTGGAACTAGCCAAGAATATTTCGCTCGTCAATGGACACTGAACTTGCGGATTACTGGACGAGTTATCACGTGTTTTATTTCTTTCTATATTTTTTCTCAGGTCTATATTTTCTCCTGGAACCTTTGGACAAATCTAACTTTGTTCCTGTCTTTAAGTTCTTTTCGTAGGCGTAGAACGATTCCCCTGGTAGCTGACGCCATGTATAGGGCGACTGAAGTCTCCCGTTCCGAAAGTCGATTACGATCCTTTTCGTAAACCTAGGCTCCCTCTCGTTCTCTTCTCTGTCTCTCTTGAGAACAAGCAGGAAACCCAAAGCAGGAATATCGTTCTCGTTCCTTTGTTCCTTATTGGAATATCGCGGCTGAATCGGGACGATTTTCATCGACTACCAGACTCGGATTGCTCTTGGGGGCACGATTTCTTCTCGCGTCGTTTCCTATCGAGATCGCGAAAATGATTTCTGCTCGTGAGGTCTGGATAATCGAACTTCCTCCGTGAAGACTCTTCGCGATAAGGATCATGCTACCGAGCTCCCATCATCGTTGTTCTTTGCATCCCGATGCCTCGACTTCGACGCGTTCCTCTTTCTCACGGTGGTTCGACCAATCTCCAGGCCAATTTGTTCTCCTCTCATCGAGCTCTTCCATATGGTAATCGTCGGTTCGGAATGCGAGACGACGTTGCGATTAACGATTTCTTCGAACACGAGAGGAGTCAATGGGAAATATGCTTTCCGCAGTTTATACGTAACTTCTAACGATGAAAGGAATGTAGCGAACAGTTTGGAATTTCTTTGGTGACAGCGATTCACGCCTGGACGTAATTTCGTTTACCCGGGTGAAACTAATTCCGGTTCGCATAATGCAGTGCAATTTACATCTGATTCTATGCTTCGTCGAAGCAAACTTTGTTCGAACGTTGTTTCCCCTTGGCAAAAATCAATTCTTCCGTTAATTAGTCAGCCCGGATCTTTTCTTTCTCTTTGAACCGAGCTGCCGATAAATTCATAAAACCGTAATTAACTCGTCGATGTTCGCTTCGCGCTGCTTCGCAGCTGCAACAAGGATACACGGTTTCTCTCCGTTGTTCGAGATTCTTCGATAACGATAAAATCAATCGAAACATAGCACCCGGTTTGTCATTACTGACTCTCGTCACTTGACTCTCCGAACATCACAGACGAGTCGTTGGAATAGCTCGGTCAACGAGAACTTAACCGCCTCTGGTACACGGGAAAACCATCAATGGATGAACGAGGAAATGAATTTTGGCAACCGGTTGGCGGGGTAAGATGGAGCCTCTATATCGAGGATCGATATAGAAAAATGTCGACGATAATTAATTTCTGTTAAGAAGGGGCTCTAGTTTGGATGGCGAGGGGACTCGCGAATAAACGTAGCATTCAGGAGAGGGGAAAGAATCGACTAGGTTATCCGTAACGAGGGAAAACGCCTTTTCGGGTCAATAGCTAAGAGGCTCGAGCTTTCATACTTTGATACTCGATGCTTAATCCGACATACGATCTTTTCGTGCTTAAACACAACGCAGAGCGCATCGTAGGGCAGAGTTAAAGGGATGAGAAGAAACGGCAGGTGCAAGCGAAGGTAACGTTAGTCGCGAGAGAAATTAGGTGATCTCGATGAGAAAAGCGGCAGTGATATCGCGACTCGTTTGGAAGAAAGTACGGCGATCTTTTCTCTGAAAACATTCGGGTACCTTCGTATCGTTACATGTACGTAAGAAGAATTTTTATCGCACCTTTGTCCCGGGGAAACTTTCTTCCCGATATCCTATACGCGTTGCCTCTCCGTTCCACGCCTAGCAGTATTTTCAAACGCGGGTTGCACTTTCGAACTTTGGCCAACTTTCTTCCACCGATATCTCCCAGCAAGTTTGAAACTTCGCTCAGATATCGAAGGCTTCCCGGCGCTCGATCCGTTGATCCTTCGTCGCGGGGCAGTCTTTCACCGTGCTTACACTTTACGTCCGAATCATCCGTTCGTACATCTTCCTGTCGTTTTATTGGCACCTGGAACCGGACGAAAGGTTTGCTTCTAAAATTAACGACGCACTCCCGTCGATATCACTTGGCTTCGAATTCTCGTTCAGAATTTCACCCGAGCGTCGCGATCTCGTTTGTTTTCTTTTTTTAGCCGCGGCAAATCTCGCGAATCCGATCACGTCAGCCCGACGCGGGATTTTCCCAGCGATTTTTAGTGAAACTCCCGCTCTTTTCTAGCGCGGTCTCGGATTAACAAAAAAGCATTTTCACACTTGTCATTGGAGACGAACGTTCTTGCAGATCGATCAGTTTTTCGCTCGAAAGGTGTAAAGTCGACACGCGTCCTCAGAGCGCTTGTAGCGCACTGAGTGCACCACCAAGAGAATGATCCGAGCAGAAGAGCGTTCGCGAAGGAGCGACGCGAGTGACCCTGGCAGTGGATGCCGCCTGCGCGGTTTCTCCCCCTCTCTCACCTTCTCTCTCTCTCTCTTTCCACCCTCTTGCCAACTCTGCATCGTTCTGTCTCACTCCTGTCTTTGCTCTCATAGCCGTTTTCCATTTTCTTATTTTTCATCCCTATTTATTTTTCGTTCATCCCTCGTCTGTCATCCCCTTCATCTTCGTTGCTTTGTCTTTACGCGTCGTTTCCACCCCTTTCTATTATCGATTCTTATTTCGAGCATTCTTCCTCTTCTTTCCTTTTTGCATATCTCCGCGGAAATCTTTTCTGTCACGTTGTCCTTCCTCCTTTCAATTTCGTTCAATTCCCCTGTCTCCTTCTCTTTCTCTCTCTCTCTCGATTTTAATTCTCGGTTCACTTTTCTCTGTAACCCTCGCGGTCGAACGCTCGCGCTCCTCCTCGTGCACCCCTCTCTTTTCCACCGATTTCTCTCGTTCACGTTCGACGTCTGTCCTTCTCCGGCTTCGCTTTCATTCATAGAGCGTGGCGTCGTCGAAGACGGCCGAAGAGATCGATCTATGTACACGGTACTTGACCTAGCGGCATTGATTTTTCGATTATTAATTGTACTTCTTTTCATGCGACCTTGTTCGCTCCGTCTTCCGACTCTCTCGTCGCGCACTCGCGTGGTTAAGATATAATAATTTGTATGCAAAGCGTCTTACAAGGCTACTCGAATGCCGGTCCTGCCTTTCCATTTTTTATCTCTGCAGATCCACTTGATACTTAACGCGGCCGCCACGACCCTTGCGTTCCTCCGTCTTTACTCTTTTCTTATCTCCTTGCCTTTACTTTCTTTTCCATTACGTTCTTCGTCGCGAAACGTAACTTTCCTCTGCGAAATTCGGATGTTAATCTTGCAAGACAACGAAGATTAACAGCCGAGAGTCCCTCGAGCGACCAGCATTGTACCTTGCTACTGAGTGGATTAATTACGGTATCAGGAGCAATCACGATCGCTGGATCAACGCCTAAAGCTAAACTCGTTTCGAGCTTGCGGAATTTGGGTATTTCGCCGATGGAAACAATCCCTCTAAAATGAAATGACGCGAATATAATGCAGCTAGACGTCGAGTGTCGATCTCATGGCAACGGGAACCGGGGATTCCATATCGGAAAAGGATTCCCGATTCTGTCAGAAATTTCAAACGCGTTGATCGACTCGCAGCTGGTGTTCCCTTCGAGGAGTGGCCAGCGGAGATTTCGTTTCACCGATCACTCGGTTAACTTGTTCGATGTATGATCTGCGTATGTTTCCGATAGTAGGCGGAAGAGTTGGTCGGAGAGCTCGGTTGAAAGTTGCTCGATGTCAACGATCAAATATTTGCTGCGAAAATAACCGTTTATCGCGAGAAATTGCTCTTTCAAATTTTTCTCGACATCTTCCCAGCGGGATTTAGAGCAGCAAATGGTGTCCCTTTTATGGCAGAGTCGTCTCATGGAACAACCTTCGGAGATCGTTCACGGCTGCGAGATAGCCGAAAACCAAAGGTTTATGCGCTGATAAAATAAGATTTTTTCGGATAAAACGGATAGCTTACGTGACGTTGGTTACGGGGGTTGCTGGAAAACCGGTCGGATAACTGAATTTTCTCTTATCTAGCAACGTAAGTGGTGAGAACAAGAACGCGCGCCACGAGTAATATCGTTCATCGATTCGACCCACGTTATCTCTGGTATTTGCCATGCACTTTTAACCCGCGTTTATCTACATGAATACGGAGATCCACGGCAGCCACGAGTTCCCATCTGTCCCGCAGTCGAAATAACGAGTTGATTGGTTTCTCTTTGGAATTTACATCGCGGGTAAAAACGGAGTTCAAAACGAAAGCGTCGACTCTCTGTCTCTGTTCCACGAGAGTGGTCGGCTCGGTCGCGATCCATGGATCACGTCGCGTCACGTGATTAGGAACGTAGGTGGTATCGCGTAATATCGTATAATTGTGACTAGAGACGTGAAGCGAGCAGGTCTTCCGGTACGCTCGGGATGGCAGGATTGTCTGTCACGGGCAACTCGTGATTTACGATCCGGTGATCAGCTGCGTAGCGTTGACACTATATTTACATCTTGATCCAAACCGTTTAAAGGACAGCGTTCATATCGTCAAGCGTTGTTAAAATAATGTTCCGCATCCGTCCGTGTCGGGCGACCATCTTCTGGGTGAACGTAAAACCCTCTCGAACCTCCAACCGAAAATCATGCGACCCAATTACCGGAATTAAACGCGACACGTATTTTTAGACGGCTCACTAGCCGATACAACCGCGGAATTGAATCGCATCAGGGGAACCCGAGATATCTAGCTCTAGCGGTCGTTTCGTAAATAAGGGCGCTGAATCTTTTCCCGGAATCCCATGTTTACGCGAAATTTTCCGCTTTCAGGAATTGTGCTGGGTTTCCAGAAATGATTAAAGGCGAGTTCAAATTCGGGATAGAACTTACTCGCGCCCGTGTAGGTCCGCGAGACGGCTGCATTGCGGAGGAATTGCATTTTCGTAGAAATTTCGAGGCCGTTTCTAGCAAAAATAGTTTACCTAATGAAATATCCCTATCCGTTGAAATATCTCGCTCCTTCGTCATAGAGCAAACGACGTTGATCAAGGTGTATTCGTCGTGATTAACATTTCAGTGGAAGCTGTAAGAACGTGTAATTCACCGTCTTTCCGAAGCTTTCGACCGTTGAAGGGGGCATTTAATATCGCGAAGCGAGTTGTCGGGGTAGTCTATAAAACAGAAATTCGACTTTCGTTTTAAGAAAAGATCCGTAAGCAGGTCATAATATTTCAGTTCTTTTCACGCTTCGTCAACTATAAAATACGATTTTATTTGATTAACCACGAACGACGAGCTATCTCGTCACCGGGAACGAATTAATTTCGAGTAAATGTTTGTTATCGCCTCGATAAATATATTTCGTGTATTTGGACCATGTCTCGTTTATCCAATTTATTCAATAAAACTAGAATGTCGGAAGCAACTTGACGCGTTCGCAGCATCGCGACATTCATTGACGTTCGTGTTAATCAGCGCACGGGTAACTAACAGTGGCAACTGAATTAATGTCAAGCTTTGTATTCCAGCGGGAGTAATAAAAAGTAACGACGAAGTAGGAAACAAATGACGCACGTTACACTCTTCGCGTAATAGTCTCAACGTCACTGGTCTTTACATTTTCTGAACTTTTCTCGTTTTAATCTATGTTTGCCTGCAAGCGTGCTAGTATCGCTCGAACCTCATTCGCGCGATTAAAACTCGGGAACCGCGCCGCTCAGCAAACTCTGTTCTGGTTCAAACGTTTCCGCGATTATCAGATCTGGAAACAAGCAACCTTCGCCGTGCATTTCTACAAAATGGTTTCATGGACCATCGATTAACGTTGAATAGTCGGTGACGAGCAACTACCGAAGCGAAGTAACGAGAGTGAATATCGCTCGCGTGTCATTTTCATCACGTTTTGCCACCATAGACCTGTTTTCCAAGTCCTTCGAATACTCGTGGCTTTCCCATGGCCAGACCATCGTAATTGCATCGATCGTAACGTCGTTAGCGTTTGAGCATAACTGTTTGCCACGTATCGTCATTAGCTCTCTATGCACCGGTGTGTATGCGCCAGCATAGCTACAAAGGAGTAGTCGATTGCTCTGTTGTCCCGCTGCAGCGTCAAAGCGCAGGAATCGCTTCGAGAATCGTGTTTCCCTGGCCCGTGTTCCACCTATGACATTGAACTTGTTGTTACGGTGCATGGTAATTTTATGAACGATTTTGGACGAGTGACAAATGATTTTACCACGAGTACTCGACCCGGACAGCTAGAGAACTCCCCTGTAGGTCACCTGCGGGCTCGGAGCGTCATCGTGACGTTTGCACATGCGTGCTCATGACAGTAAAAATAGAAGAAAAGAGAATTCATGAATCATCGGCTCGGTCAGAGTCCGAGTTCAGAGTCAGACTCTTTCAAAGCGTTCGAGAAGATCCACCAACACGATTTATAAATCCTTTTTATCTCTCGCTGCTCCAAACTGCAATTTTTTCGGTTTAAGAGCTCCCTCGGATAGATACAAATTGGTAAAGAAATTGGCAATGAATGGAGAGATTAATTTTGCTTTTACTGCCAAGTTCTCCCGTATTTGAATCGCACGGTGGAAAGCTCGAGGGAACTATCTCCTCGAGAAACTATTCCTCTTAATTTCGCCGGTCCGAGTTTTGAACTTGCACCTCGATCGATGCAGAATTGAATATCAGAAGTAAGTAATAAGGATTTGCGCAGAGGAATTTCAATAACTGCGATAGTTTCGCAGGTACCTTCTATCTCCAGAATAATTCGAGATAAGTGTTAGATCAAGTGTTATTTGGCTCTCGAATAAATATCAATCCATTTCGCGTTACAGAGTTCGCAAGTCGCGGTTCCTATCTGGAAAGTTTCTGATCATATTTCTGAATGCTTGCATTCGATTAGTAATAAGTACTGCGAAATACAATAGCCTCCTACGCTGGTCGAACAAGCAAGTATGTTTTCCTTTGAACAATGTAGAGCATTCGTAGCAGGAAATAGAGTTCGATCGTGATTCATGTAACGACCGAACTCGTGAAATTTTCTCGTTATGTTCATCCTTCCGAAATGGTACAGGTTATCGAATGCTTGCGCTAACCTCGAAAGAAAGGAGTGGCTTTTTCCTTTTATGTCCCTTACGGAGATCCTCGACGCCCACGCTACCTTTTTTCACAGGATACTTCGGCCAGCTCACCGACTCTTTATTACCCCGATATTACCCTTTTATATGCCACTGACGATAATGGATACGAAAGCGTTTACTCGTCCTTTGTATCACGGATAATTATTACGGGAAGTGGAAGAATTTTATTCTAATGAACGGATCGGCTATGATCCTCTTCTTGTCTGGTTAAA